GATGTGTTATTTTGCGTTTCAAAATGCTTAGAAAGTTTCAGCTCCTTGTCGACATAAACTCCGAGATCTTTTTCCACACTAGACTTTTCAATCATTGCTCTCTCGTTGCAACCATGTCTTCTCATACTGTAATCTTGCTGTTGATTGCTGCTGCATACTCTAGCTTCAGAGACAGAGAGAACATCTCAATACCTGCTGCTATAAGAATGCAGACACAACCAAAGTATACAGGTATAGTTGGGTGAGGTCACCTTGCTGGGTCGGACACGCTGCATGCAACATGTCCGAGCATCCACATGCCGGCTGATGTCATCGCGCCAAAAGTTGATATTAAGCCGAACACAAATTTGATGCGTTCTTTTGATGTCATATAAACAATAAGACGTATCGACTGAGCAGATTTGGTATGATTAGGATGGAGCTTCCCACACGAATTGAGCAAATCAGTGAAGGTCTCGTTGCAGCAGTATTAAAATTCGCATTACATTTCGTAGACTGACAATGAAAAAAACACGACTACAAAAATCCAAAAATATATGTTCCCAGTACAGGATGGAACCCAATAACTACCAAATTCAGTTTTTCTCCTGTCCTTATTTTATTTCAGAAGCAACAACTTTTCACTTTTACCAGAGAACAAAAATGAGAGGTTCGCTCAGTGATTAGTTTATAAAATAATTGAAACAGTTTTGTGGATGTTGGACTGTTGGATGTTCATCTATGCTACATCACAATTACTTGAGCAGAGGCTTTAACCGTCTACCCCCTGACATGAGTAACCGGAGCAATATTGTCACACAAGCCTATCCAAAAGGGATACGTTGCTAGAGAGCGCAAAAAAAATGACTTGCACTGATGGTTGCCGCCACTTACGACAACTTTAAAATGTTCTCTGTTGCGTACAAACGTCCTAAAGTCGCTACACTCAACATTTGACGTACAGTTCAAGTTAAAAGTTATGTTCCCGGGGAGTGACATGCGGTGGTAGAGCCTTTCAAAAGCTTCATATCATCTCATGACTAGAAGACTTGCGAGGACAAATTGGACTAAAACATAATTGTAGCGTCGGTGTCCGAGTAATTATTATTTATTCCGATTTTTCACTGCTCATCAAATCAATATTCCAGAAATATTACAAACTCTGTTTTGTTAATTTGCGTAAATTTCTTTTTATAGAAAAACATCAAGTATTTGGAACACCAAAATCGCGTAAATAATTACCAAAGTTGCGACCTATCTGGCAAATAAAATAACCTATGATAATCAATTCATCAGGAAAAAAACAGCATGGTTGGAATTCAGATTATCGTCTAATCAATTATTCTTTATGAATAATATAAAGAGATACATTATATATACATTATATTATAATAATATAATATAATATAATGTAAAGAGAATAGTATTCTCTTTACGGCAAACTCAATCTTTCTACTATAATTATACATGCCACATAATTCTACCATGAACTTGGTCGAGCATAACAGCGGAACTTGAATCGTTGGGAAAAAGTGTACGATTTGCGTAATTCGAGCGCGGCCACTCATGTTCCAGCCTTGAGGGCAGAGTTTCTACGGGGCTTCCTGTGTTTCGTAACTCGGGTGTGTTCCCGCGATCGAGGCATTAGTTTCACTATACAGACGCCCAGGGCCTATACTTTCAAATAAAGTTAAGAGATTGTAAGTTCATCAACCAATCATTGACGGCCTTTCAAGCAGAATCCACCAATCATAGGCAAGAAAATAGAGCGTAAGTACTTACGTTCTTAGGAGTTTTGAAAGTATGGCCCCAGATCAATTCCAGGGACAAGCTCAGAATTTTATGCCTGGTCCAAACGTTCTGCATGGCAGGTGAGCGCTTGTTTTCTAATTATATGGTCGCTTGTATATGGACGAACCCAGTACGACTGAGTTAGAGAAAGAATCCTGTGAAATCTCGCATAGATTAACTAATGAAAACTTTTGGAGACGTAGCTCGCTGAAATTTCTGTACAGCTATATGCTGGTACAGGAAACGTATCTATAGGAGACAAAAAATCCATAACATCAAAGATAACAATGCGAAAAATAATATGTAATGCGTCACAATTGAAAATTCACAATTTAAATCAAACATAAAAAGAAAATCATCGTCCTAGTTGCTCCTATATATAGTGTCTCTTCAAATAATCTAGCAATACGCACGAGAATTTGTTTTGCCTAGTGGTCAGTGGACTCGGAACTTGAACACCACAGAGGTAGCGTCAAAAGTACAGCAGTAAGCAGCAATAAATGGGGCCACCGGAGCCTCTTCGTAACACGTTCATCAGCCGCTCCTAGAATTTTAATATAGGAAGAGAGCGTAGTACAGATAATGGTGCACATCACACATGGTGAAATATATAGGAAGAGAGCGTAGTACAGATAATGGTGCACATCACACATGGTGAAATATATAGGAAGAGAGCGTAGTACAGATAATGGTGCACATCACACATGGTGAAATATCTTTAGCAATAATCGAAATCTTATAGAAATGGGCCACGAATTTCAACGTTATTCCTCATGCATTCGCAACAGACAGAGTCTATCTCTTAATTCTGTCATAATCTAACAGAAGACCGGCATCTAGTAACTCATTAGAAGCTAAAATTCAATTATCGCTTTTAGGAAATGAAAAGTATCATGATACGCACGATAACAAACCGCTCGTTCTTTATCATGACACGCACGAAAAGCTTTTGACCGCTTAATGCTTGCCAGCGGCATGGAAATATTTGCAGGAATAGACTCGAAATCACTCTCAAATGAAGAGGATGCTGAGAACAGATGCTTTGAAAAAATGAGGATCACAGCCAAATCTCCAATTAACCTATAAATGCTTTAGCTTTTCGCCATTTTAATACTGCGCGACGAACATTCATCGTAGTCGACTTCGAGGCGTCATTACTGCAGATATAAGATGGCATAAAGCGAAATGAAGTTGTGCGACTTTATTGAGCATGATGAACGGAAAAAGAATTTCACTGTTTTCCTAGAAGAATTTCGATATTTCCTAGGCACATGCCGTTATGTATCGCAAAGGATCTGCTACTAGCCTATTATAAATGGAGACTTGTTACTTCCGTCATACAGATTGGATCATTTAATCAAGACATGTGGAACTTTTCAGGGCATAATAATCCTTCACTTTGTATAAGTAGAGTCCATGTAAGAGGCCAATAACAAGTGAAATAGTAAGGCTTATTACTATTAAAAAGCTGCAGTGGCCCCAACGTGTAGAGGCACATTCAGACTAATGAGTGAAGTGAACGATACACATACTCTCCTTAAAAAATATACGATCGGTACTTATAAGGTCTACATCACATCATCATAGATCGTGAAATCTATGATGATTTAGTGAAAAAAATTCCCCATTGGTCATGCGCACGCTGGGCTGCAGAATAGACACAAACTGCGCACCTCACGCGTGAATGGGACGTCAGCCAAGAACTGCAGCCTGCAGAGACACGTTGGCTACGAGACCGACCAAACAAGAGCCTCTTATAATGACGTCGCCTGTATAAACTTAAGCTGCCATACCACCGGCCGAGCGTCAGGTGACTCTTGTAATCAAACGCGGCCGTGGCTGTATGAGACGCTACGCTTCGAACTTAAAATGGTCACGAGCAGTAATATAATAATATCACAAAAATAATACTAATATTACAGCAATTCAAAGAGCAGATGTGAGTAAGCAATGCTCACACCATCTCACTATCGCACCTTTCTCAATACAATGGTGTCAATATTTAACATTCTTGAAATTTTGGTATTTTCATATACCTACTGTATTACATGCACAAGACTTCAACAATAATTAATTTAGCAGTGGGGACACAGACATGGCAGAACAGCGAAGAAAAACAAGGGTTTTAATTGACATCCATATACATGGGACTTAAAATGTGCTTCTGTTTATTTGAGAACACCCATCAGGTGGCTATTAGTCTAACAAGCAAATAGGGATAATATTAAATAATTGATGCGAACAATTTCTTCCGATGACTATCAATGATTCAATACATTATCCATTGCGAAATTCTAAATAGCACTTATGGATAACAATGGATTTAACTTTCCTAAACTATGAGGTAAGCAGAGACAATTCAATGTTGAGTTGTTATTTCTTATGTAAAGCTAAAATGAAAATCAAGCTAGCTAAAATAGCCAAGCTTAGGAATAACTTAAGATAAAAGAAGCTAAAGATCTCGCCTTCGAAATACGAGAACACATATGAAAATCAATCATCTATAAAATAAATTGTAGTGAATCATTTCCGTTTCATGGAAACTAACAAGAAAGATCGCAGATCAAAAATAATGTCGCATAATATTGGAGTTTTATTTCTGTCTACTGGCGATAAGCAAGAGCACTGCTGATATCCGAGGTGGCGAGTCACTATAGAGTATCGTGTCGTGCATGCCTGTCGTGACGTAATATAAGCGAGCAGCTGCCGGTAATAACGGCAACTAACACCTCAGACCTGTCGCCTCAACTCTGAAATGAATGGCCTGACGTAATCTAAAATAAATAATAGCTGAGACCATGGAGAAAATTTTCCCCAAAATTTAAGTCAGCACAAATTGTATGTCCATTAACGTAAAAATTCGTTTACACTTACATAACCTTGAAATCTGATGCATCTGGCTACCTAGCGCTATCACTTTGAATAATTATCACGTACATGGAAGGGAAATTTGTGCTTTCAATTAAATAACATCACAATTTTTTGTCTAAAATTGGTCTACGAACAAAATTACATTTTTAGACGAAATTTTACTATTTAAATCACAAATAATGCAGCAGGTTAAATGCAAGTGAGACCTGGACAATGTTCAGAAATCATTGCATAAACTTTAAGGATATATGAAATAAATACTAATCAGACTTAGCACCGAATTAAGCAGGCATTCAGGATATATGAAATACTAACCAGACTTAGCATCGAATTAAGCAAGCATGTCGAGGAATTATTACCTTGGTATTGTGACTCGTGACCATAATGGACGGAGGAGAATCAAGCTGCATCCCCACACAAGATGACGAAAGCCTGTCACAAGGATCCGGGCGCCTCAGGGGCAACGGTGCGGACGTTTTGCGGGGGTATGGCGAGCCGGACTCGTGCGCGGTATTTACACGGAAAACATGTACCGGCGTCGAGATGGATCGAAACTGTGAAGGTACACTGGGCGTCTGTTGCTGCATATTATCGTTAGAACTTCGCCATGAAACTTCATCATCTTCGTCATCATCTGCTGGGACATGGTTGGGATCGGGTGCCGGCATGCCCGGTTCCGGGATATAAATGCCGAAAGGTACGGACTTTTTTCGTGAACGAGACCGAGATAAACACGATGACGGGTGGCAGTTACGAGACAATGAGAGGCTCGTAGGAGGGTCAGGACGTTGCACAGGAACATTAGACATGTCTTCCTTCATCGAACAAACTGACGAACGTTTGAGACAATAAATGAGGAGATCTTCTTCGGAATCACAAGGAGGAAATTCTATTACACTACCGTCAGAAGCGTGTGAGTGGCGTCCATGGGTTTTGCTCTGCTCCGCCTTCCGCCGTAGCGGGCAATCTGAAGTCGATTTAGTGCCACGACTCATTTTGCTTTCAACGAGATTTCATTCATTCACAATGACTTAAAATTAGTGATATAATTAAGTGAAATAAGATGAAATTTTCATACGCTGCAGGTGAAAACCAAATCAGAATTCGTCATTCAATCGAATTTAACATATCCAAATCTCTTCGTGAACATGACAATAATGTAGGCAAAGTGTGCCGTTCACAATTTCTGATCAAAGAAAGCATATCCAGCACTTCAACAGCGCCGCAAGTTCTCGTAAGAGTTTCAAAGCACATCTCAACTGCTATGTATACCACGAACACAAACTAATTCATACCACACTGATCTGGATCGACACGAAAATCAGAATTAGCAGAATATTCCAACAATTTCTTTTCAAGAGTAATGTGTTAATTTATTTCTATTTCACTTTGAGGAACTGCATTAAGTAAATAAGATTAACACCAAGTTTGAAATGTTAACACGTTGATTCCGATTACTTCATAATGTACTATTATTTAATTTTTAGCACATTTTCTCATTTATGGAAAAATGCACTATTGTGCTCGCCATGTCCGTCTGTCCATCCGTCCGTGACCTCAAGTTTTCGTCGACGAGAAAATGCGCTCTCTGTCACTCACTGCAGTGAGTACTGAGTTATATTTTTTGTACTATTATGAAACAGGGTTGCCAGAAGGTCTTCGTGGTAAGCATATGCTCCACTTCGCAGTCAAAGTGTTAATTAAACAATAAACATACAATTCAGATGGGCTGATATAAAATAATTACGAAAAACCTAAATATATAAATAAAAATAGTTACGAAATTTAACCTGGAGTTAAATTTTCTAGCATTAATGTGACGAAAACGCCAACAAGGCACCCAAGAATTTAGACTACATTGCACAAATAACAAAATGTATTTGCTAAGAATGAGATATCTGGTGGTAACATTTTTGATATCATGTCATTAAAATATGTCCTGAATAACTGTAGAGCAAGTTGGGGAACCTAGTAATATTTATAAAACTTCGTAATGAGCGAGTTTTCCACAACTCAAATCAACGAGAGTTTCTTTAAGAGACGTGCACTATACTATACCACCTATACCTAATAGGTGAAAGATTTAAATAATAACTATGACGTTGAAAGAAGTACTCGATGATATCATTCTCCTCAATATTTAATGATTTTGGTAAAAACAACGATAAAACAAATCTTTACCAAAAATTAAAAAAATATATCCAAGTCATAAAAACAAAGAGCTAAAAATTAGACTTATGCGACACAGCAAAAACATTTTCAAGAACCTAAGTCGTGGTGGCAGTTTCTCTGTCACTCAAAGAAAGGAAATGAGCGGGAAAACCCGCCTCTGAACAACACCAATGAGGGTTGAGCTCATGTGAAGCAGCAGTTAAAGTAGAAGACAACAGCACCCAACGAAAATGTTGGCCGGAAATTAAAGGAAACTCTCGCCAAATACCTTCCTTGCAACTCTGCCAAAAGCGAATCAGTGGCCGATAATTGCTACCACTGCTTAACAACGGCTTGTGCATCGACATAACTTGTACGAGAATAAATGCTGCGGGTGCAATGTACTCTTCTGGTGCACTGAAATTATTTAAGTTATTTCAAGAGAAACATAATTTTGTTTCCCCTGAAGTGAAGGAGCAATAGAGTACGAGGTGATTAGATATTAGATCGAACCGATATAGTTTCACCCTTGGGAATAGCGAGAAGTGTTGGGAATTTATACCCAGAACATGCGAGTTAGCAGCATGCAAGATAGTTGTTGTGACGCTATCTGCGTTATTGACTGAGAATTAAAGTAAATTTCCTAGATGTACTAAGAAACATGATGTCTACATAAAGCATGCCACATCTAAAACATCGATCAAGTTGCTCAAATTATCAAAATAAAATAGAAGACTATACTTAAGTCCATGTAGCACACATGGTAAGGTGACATGTATCAGACAAGGTCATCGGTTTAACTGTGCAAACATCGGGCATCCCCAGCTCCCTCTTGTGAGCATACAATAATCAAAGCCAAAAGATAAAATGGATGAACCTGCTGCAGAAAAACTACTTTTTGCGCTTCAGAAGTAGTATTAGCTCTAACACTTGCTAATGGTTTTTAGCCGTATTATACTACTTTCATTTTCATAGCCCTAGAAACGAGTTCAATTGGCCTAACTCTAAAAACAGACCAAAAACTTCACTCGCTCTCAATAGGATTGAAATTGTTGATCATAGCAGAATAGCCCACGAACACGATAAGGTTGCGAAAAAAAAAATCAATTCTAAATTTACGCACACAGCCTGGGATCTTACCCTATGCTAAATTCATTAATTCAAGCCTTTTCGCTCAAATAATTCAAGCTGAATGCCAACATTGCATGGTCGCACGTCACCGATGATGGTGACGTTTCGCGTGTGAACAGAGTGCGCTGCGAGTCTATTCACGAATAAGCAAAAAATGCACAGGAAGTCGCACCATGAGAAACAAAATGTTGCTAAGCCAAAGCTCACGAGTGATACAAATAAGACCGGGCAAGACATCAGAAGACAACGTTCGTCCTTCATGTTATGGTCGAGATGGTTTGATTGGTCACCATACTGGTGATATGAAGCACTATCGAGATAACTATACCGTGTCGAATGATGTCATCCCAAGGTAAACATCCAGGATGGTAACAATCGTAGTATAAATCCTTCAATTTGTCATTAACCCTTTAGCTTTCTTCATTCAATAACCCTAAATTTCTTTTGTGATTAAATAACACTTCACATTTCGTTTTTAGCTCTAAATCTTTCCCTCCGAAATTGTCAATGGAATCCTTTTTCATTTCAATCTAACTGATATATACACTAGTTTCAGCGAAATACATTATAAAATTCTGAATATAATTAGAATTCTCCTAAAAATTATGATAATAATACAAAAAGAAAACTTCTTCCATCTCCATGTCAAGGAATAAAAAATAGGAGATAACTTTACTATCGATACAGATTATCTAGCAAGTGGGCATTAGAAATAATCAGCTAAACTTTGTAGAGCTGTGCAGCCTGTACCACGAACACGACAGACACCTGAGAAAATTTCTACAAAATCACATATGTTACTTCGTACATAAGTCAAGAATCATAGAAATCAAGAAAAGCACAAATTCCTTCATACAAATTGTGGTGGTGCTATAGAGTTCAAAGTAAATAAATGCAAAGGCGAATGAACAAATCGGCATCGGTGAATATTGCAATGCAAACAAAAAAAAATACACTGAATAACATCGGGAAAAAGAAACGGACAACAGCCGTGAGCGGCCAATTAAAAGAAAAGCAAATTCAAAACCATCGTAGTTCTCTTAATGTTGACAGTTACAGATTCATATTTCGCACGCGTTGATTCTAAACGCTTCTGATCGCTAATGATGAACACGGCAAGAGGAGGATGATGGGGGCATCATAACGCCACAACTTCGAGTTTGTTCATTGTCTTTGCATACTTCGGGATAGTTTTGGATGACCAGAGATGAATTGACATTAGTAAATTGTTTAAAGTTCAGCATACATAGCTTTTGACAGCAGCGCAATAAGACCAACAGGTGTGAGGTGTCATTAATCAATGAACAAAATCTAACACTAAATTGAACGTAAATGTCTTCATTTTATAATTGCACGGAAACCACTACACAGAAAAACACTCATTTCAAATACGCCTACGAAAGACACTTCGGTTTTGTGCATGGGTATACACGAGGGTGCCACAGCAACACGATCAGCCACAGACCACCACGACATAACCACACTCGTCGGCGTCCAGCAATGCACTGAACACATGCATTTCATCAGGGGCTGTGAAGCTCAGGATATAGATATCTCTGGCGGTCGACATCTTTCGTACAACGCTGCTTTTGTCTTGCCAACTTGTTCTGGGGCCATACTTTCAAAACTCGCTAAGTGAACGTAAGTACTTACGCTCTATTTTCATGTCTATGAATGGTGGATTTTGCTTGAAAGGCCGTCAACGATTCGCTGATGAACTTACGATCTCTTAACTTTTTTTGAAAGTATTGGCCCTGGTGCTTTACTTTTGAAATTGGCTAAGTGAACGTAAGTACTTACGCTCTATTTTCTTGTCTATGATTGGTGGATTTTGCTTGAAAGGCCGTCAATGATTGGCTGATGAACTTACGATATCTTGACTTTTTTTGGAAAGTATAGGCCCTGGTCTTGAGTGCTAATAGGGAATTAAAGAGCTAGAGATGTCGAACACGGTTTCATGAATGTTCTTCGTCCTAAACGATAGGGCAGAACACAGAGTACCGACAAAAGAAAACACAGATATAGAGTTTGCATGCACGGTAGTCCCTATAATGACAACAACCGCGGCAATAACAACAAGTTGAAATATTTTCTTTGATAACAAAAAATATCAGTTATCTAGAAATTCTCATCTGCATAAATCAAGTTTTGATAACAAAAAATATCAGTTATCTAGAGATTTTCATCTGCATAAATCCAGCTTTGATAACAAAAAATATTAGTTATCTAGAAATTCTCATCTGCTTAAATCCAATTGATGGAATCACCAGCAAAGCGATGTGACTAGAGTGCAAAGCATATGCGTGCATCTCAGATCTGAAAATCTGGAGGAATAATATTATAATTTTTATTTCTATTATTATTATTATCATTATTATTATTAAATCAAGAAACCATCTCAATAATAGTCTCAATATCGCAGCTGCAAAGTTAACACGCGGGCAGCGTAAACCTAGAATATAATTTGACAATTGACCAAAGATGACAGCTTGGCTTACTAACTTTATGGAATCTTACAAATCAGCTTGCGCAGCAACAAGTATGATGGAATCGAATGTACAACTATATATGTGCTCCGAGAATTTTAGATGTGCAGCAAGCACCACTGCGACAGGATAAATTCAACGTCAAAGATACAGAACTCTTCAAAAAGAAACCTTTTTCACATTTTTTGTCAATGATACACACCTTCTCAATTTATAAGGTATTCAAGTTGAAACATTATTATAGCATATTGTTTTCAGAAATTATATTGTACTAGTACCGGTCATTACCCACAGCGCAAAGAAACCACAGCAAGAACAGCGCCAATAAATTGTTAGCAAGTGCGGTCTTTCATGACAGCAGAGAGCATCGTATCTAACCCTTATGGTGATGAATTATATGACCATGTATTACAGATCACGAGGCTGCTTGCCACACCATTAAGACGCATCATGCACAATGATCATTAGAGTGTCTTGAAGACTGAACCTATCATAGCGCCACGATCACGTGTCTGTTGCTAGGCGTTC